ATCCCCACCATTCTGTGATTCTGTGAAAATCTATATGAAGTTAAGAACTGTCATCCTGGAAGCGCAGTCCAAGCAGGCTAACGCCTTCCAGGTGCCGCCAGAGGAGAGGTCTCACCTGTAAACCTGTGCAAAATACTCATGGAAAAGGGTTGGGAAATACTTTGGGAAAGGGGTGGTGCTTTCCAACCCCTGGATGGCTTGATGGCTTCACAAGAGCTCTCCACACCCTGCTCCCATCCATCAGCTGCTGTCAGGGTCAGGATCTGCCCCCAGGAAATCATTCGGGACCTCCCTCCCATTTTCACTTGTTGTTCTTGGAGCCTCAGCATCCTCCGAGGACGCTGCGGAGGGGGCATCAGCAGAGCCAGCGGGTCGTGCTTTGCCATCTCCAGGAGGGCAGCTGCTGCCAGGCAGGGGGAGGCCGATTCGACGCGCTCCTGCGACTGCACTGTGCTGCTCCCTGCTCTGCTGACAGAGAACTTTGCTTTCCAAAACTGTCAATCTAACACTTTTTCTTTTTTTTTTTTTTTTTTTCTGAAATGGAAACACCATCTGATTTGTTCTCAGGGACACACGGCTCCTTTCAGGCTCACTGGAAGGCAACGGTTGTAGTGACAACTCGGCACCCTGCGAACCTGCACGGGCACGTTTTCTGCAGCAACAAAACAAACACCCTGCTGTTACGGAAAATGGAGAATCGCGGGAAGGTCACACACTTGCCTGACACGGCACGGTATCTCATCTTCCCTGCACAGATATCGCCTCGTAATTAGAAGGATGCAGGCAGGCTGCGAGATGAAGCACTAGAGAGGCGCGAACGTCGCGCCGCTCGTGGGAACGCGTTTGCCAAAAGTGCCTCGCAGGGAAGACGCGCTGGGATGGAAAGTCGCCGCGAGATGTGCTTGTACGCGTTGCTCCGTCCCTTCGCGGAGAACATCCCGGTAACAGGAACTCTGAGCCACTTCGTACTTGAGATACATCCAGGAGCCCGAAAGCCAGCGATGCCAGATACGCAGCCACGGGGGAAAGCAGTAAGAGCAGAACTGGATGCCAGGCAGCATCCCAGGGCAGGGCAGGCTTCGAGTCTCTCTGCAGCCCTTGAGGGAAACGAAGCTCCTCTGATGGGAAATGCTTCGAAAGCTGCTTTCAAGGCACAATTTTTAAGCAATCTCTTCCCAATGTCCTGTCTTGTGGCATGAGGATCTCTGCACATACAGCCTCCCATTCTCACTACTTGGAGAAAAAGATCGTTAATGTTGAAGGCAAGAGTTTAGCCACAAGGTGAGGATGGTGCCGGATGAGTTCTCCCCTGGGGGGGATCTGAAAAACGGAGCCTGAAGACCAGATGATCCTCGAGCAGGACAGCACAGGGAACCTGAGGTCCAAGAGAGACCAGGACCTTTTTAGCCATTAGGCTGCTTTGGACAACCCCAAAAGGGCTGGGGAGGGGGTGGTGGATTAAAGATGGGGAGGGGGTGGTGGATTAAAGCCGGCGAGGACCTGCAAGCAGCTGCCTGAGCTTCATCTACAGATCCTGCCAGATTTTTGTCTTGTCGGTGCCAGACACGAGAACGAGTTTAAATTTGGCTCCTACAAATGCCTTCAGCCCCTGCCCTATGCCGTGCTCTGGATTAGTGCGGCACAGCCGCCCCGGGGACCGATCCTGACCAGCGTTTACCTGCACGCTGCGGTGCCTTGTGCGGATCAAGCCCTTGAACCGGCTCCAAATTTCTCGTCATATCAACTCCAATTTTGGCAGCGGCTCAAGTTGCATCTTATCTCGAGCAGAGTTCCTTGGCAGCATGCACCTCCCTGTTGTGTAATTTAATGATGTTATGGCTGGGGTGCAAACAGTAAAACAGAAAGGCCGTGACGTTATCTTAATAGGATTTTGCTTGCTGAACTCCGAATGTCACTGGCACCGCTCCCCAGCGTAGCAGAGGGGACGCAAACCACCCCAGCAGCTTCTGCC